TAAGTAGTAAGATTTAAAGTTCTAAAATATTTCTACTATTAAAAACTTAAAAAATTGAGATAAAACATTGACAACTTGAAAAGGAAATTTATTACATTCTTAATATCGCGAAAATAATGAAAAATTTATTATTAATTGAAAAGGCCAAAAAATGAATAAAAGAAAATAACTAGCTTTTAATACTCCCAATTTAAACTTTTTGACAGAGGTGAAAGTTTTCTAGTGGTTAAAAAGGGCATCTCCCGGAGAACCAAAAGTTAATTGTAATTTGAAAATTTGAAGTTAAAAAACTTGAAAACTTAGAAATAAGATTTTATGCATTCTTAAGTCATTCTACAAAATAATGAAAGTATTGTATTAGTTAAAAAGACTTGTGAAATGGTATGTACAACTTACCTAAAGTGATCGTTAAAGGCAGAATGACCTTTTATTAAATTTAAAGAATTTTCCACCGTTTTAACAACTTGGAGAGTTGGAAAGAGAATTTATTGTACTACTAATATTATCACAAGAAAATAGTTAGTGTTAAAAATTAATTGTTACGTTTTAGCAAGATGGTACTACTTCTTATGATAAATAATAGTCCTACCGCCTATGTCGGAGAATTAAAAATTAACTGTAACTTGAGAAATTGAATTAAATTTTTATTGCATTTCTAATGCCATCATACAAGAAAATAGTTTTGTACTAAATAAAACGGCCAAATGATACAATAAATATTCAAGTTTTTAATGGATGATCATAATTGCAATTTTATTCAACATGTACAATTTCTCTCAAAAAATTTAATTCTGAAAATAAGTTTAACCGTTATTATCAAATTGATTCTTACGTTTTAAGAAACATTTAAGGTTAAGACAATTTTTTTTTTAAAATTCCCATGCCTCTTTTTTCTTAGAATTTGTTTTTAGTCACCACTAATTACAAAGTAGGCAGTCTTCTCTCTTTATTTAAAAAAGAATATATATATATATATATATATATATATATATATATATATATATATATGTGTGTGTGTGTATATGTGTGTGTCATAAAATCCACAAATAATAATTTTTGGGGCCTAAAGTAATTGCTTTATTAGAGGATTCGGTATGGTGGAATAAATTAGACCTGCATTTTTTAGTATTGAGGTTAAATTCCTGTTCCCAGGGGACAATGTCGTCTGACTTCTCTCCAATTGGTTTCTATAGATGGTTGTAATGAAATTAGCAATGGAATGCTAGAGTGATGTCCGTCTCTCGAGCATTTGACAATGGGTCGTTTCGAGCTTCCTACGTCTTCCAACTTTTTCTTAGACTTTAGACAAGGAGAATTATATAAAGCTTGATCAATATATTAACAATAGAATGATATGGTTTGCAAGTTTGAATATTTTCATAAAAAACATGATTATTGGAGCCGAGGGTCTATAGCAAACAGCCTTTTGCACAAGGTAGGGGTAAGGTTTACGTATACACTACCCTCTCCAGACCACTTGTTGATGTTATTGTTGATTATTAATGGATTTCAACTTACCATAATATCATCGTTACTTAGATTTCCATTAATGAAATATATTCCTTTTCAGCGAAGAGTGGCTTCAGAAAATGGATCAGAACATAACTTCCATAAAACCAATAATGGGACCAACTTAAGTGGACTACCTACTGGAGAACATCTTTCATTGCAATTGCTGAACTGTTTGACTACTACAAATTGGAGAAGAATGAATAGTTTCGTATTTCCTCTTGAATATGCACTAAGCACAACAACATTGACGACATGAGCAATATAAAACATAACAGTCTAAAAATGGGCTTCAGCAAATACAAAGATGAAGAAGTTAATCATAACAACACTTATGAATGACTAGTTTTTGAATAGCTTTTGGATAAAAGTTGTTGAATTGTAATTTGATCCTTCCTTTTGGTGTATGAGTTTTAACACATCAGAACCAAATGTACAAAAGAAAATAAGATAAAAATAAAAATGAGGAAGAGAAAATCCTCAAAGAAAAAACTAAACTCATCCTAGGGAATTGCAATTGAAACATATTCTCAATACTAAATCCAATTACACCAAAGAAAAAACAGAACTTTTGAAACCTAAACGACAGACTCAGGTCACTCAACAATAGTAGAACTCAATTAGCCCCCGACCACCACCACGGAAAATCAAGAAAAAGAGCCAAAAAGATCCCATTTCAAAAGATTGAAGAAAAACAAACTTCATTTTAATCCTTTCGTACAAATAAACTATCCTCAGTTCTTTATGATAGCAAAACTAACTGGATCAAGATTAGAACAGATTCAGTAAGAAACTATCCGAGAGCCCAGAAGAAAAAACATAGAAGAGGAGAGAAGACTGTTTGCAGCGGAAAGTGGATACAGGGAGAGGAACAAGAGACCTTTGAAGGGGAGGAACATGACTTTGTACAGCTTAGGACTTGATTCCTATTATCGCTCGAGTTTTGGAGCACCCACGAAGTCCCTGTGGGTATAGATGATCAGGTAAAGAACCATATTTTCATGTAGGTTCTCTACATTTTGGTACTCTTCTCGTACACAGGGTTTGTCCCACCATATCAATAATACTAGATTAAAAAAAAATTATAAAAAATTATAAAAAAGAAGAAGAAGATAGGACAGGTACATTCTCACTGGCGTTGTCTTTGCTATCAAAATTAGAATCTCATTAACTCTCCTGAAGTTTACAGTTCACAGATTACATTTTCGTAATTAGCCAGGGTTGCCACAATATTGGGCATGATATCTAAAGCCATTAATCGTTTTTAGAAAAGTTTTAGTGGCATCTGAAAGGAAAAGAAATGCAGAAAGAAAAAAGACTCTAGCTGACATTCCCAATCTAAGACAAATGGGCACGTGAGCCAAGAGAGCAAAGCATTGCTTTTCAAATTCATATTCCTACAAATTCTAGCATTCCTGAAGCAGATTCAGCAAGGTAAATCTACCTCAGTTTCAGCAACTTAAATTAGTTGCCTAATCTACAATATTTTCAGTGCAAACTCATTAACAAAAACTGCATCTACATCATTCAGCACTACGTTGAACAAGTACTAAGCTCAAGAATCTGTTTACCTAAAAAATTTACTAAACTCAAGAATTAAAATGATTGTACAGATAAGCTGAGTAAATATTAGAACAAGGATTACTGAGAGGACTATTGCTAAAGGGCTAACGTCAGATTGAAACCAGTATCTCATTGACTCAAGACCCATACACTATGGACAGACCTATTGTAATCATAGAATACCAGCTAAATTTTATCCCTACCTCTCGGCTCCAAGTATCCGATTCTGTCCATTATCAAATGCTGTGTCCCACAACTATAGGCAACTGTGCAGAGAAAGGTTTTTGACTAAGGAACATTACCCACATCAAGTGTAATATGAACTGGAATCAGGAAGGAAGGGAGGCCCTCCACCTAATGGTTAATCAACAATGGAGATAAAGCGGCACACAACTGTTACCCCTGGGAAAGAAGGATTAGGGTGTGGAGTAAAAGGAAAATTACCAAATTAAGGGAAAAAGAGCATAAGGAATCAGGAACTGTTCCAACCAAATAATATGGATCTTAGACTAACCACAACAGGATCATACAATCTAAAGCAAGTCATGATATGTCATTCCATTTCTAAGAAAGTAGACAGCCAAATGTGGGATGAACAACAGACAATAAACATCATTTTCAAGTCTCCCTTTTCCTTTTCCAGTAAGACACAAAGCTTAACAAAGAAACTGCAAAAAATGCAAGCTATTTGCCCTCCTTTAAATATCACCAAGAAATACTAGATCTCATGTTCAATATCCAAGCTATCTTCATTTAAGATTATCGTTTTTCCTCTCAGATCAGACACGATTCTGGTGGAATCATATCCAACTGGTATAATAGTCAAAACAACTTCAAATGAGAACACTTTACACATCACAAAACACGAGTGATTAACCAAGATCATAGGTCTTTGATAATCCTTAGCTTAAAATTCAATCAAGTGTTGAAATATCCAGTAGAGCAATGCAATTGCTAGACAATCTTTCAGTGCTATGCAGCTGCTTGCCTAGTACTACTCGAACTTTTACATGTAATAACTCTATAACAGGAAGGCCTTCCAATCACGTGAAATGCAAGTACCTTCTCCTCGATTAGTTATGTGTCACCTCGTCTAGCATCAAATACAATTACAAAACAGTTTAATTAAGCTCCACAAAAAATTCACCTTATGAATTGTCTATTCAAGCTACACTTGTTACTTGGGAGCACCAGTGGAGCTCTTAGAATCATTTTGATGAGCACCACCCACAATTCCATCAGCTTCCAAGAATCTACTTAAATGCTTATCATCCAGATGCTGCTGAAAAAAATTAATAAAAGCAAAAGTTCAAAAAGAAAAAAAAAACATATACATAAGAAACAAAGAAACTGAATTGAGCTTAGAATTCAAAGAAAGAGCTTACAGATAAACAATCTCTATATTTCTGCCATTCTAAAACACACTCCTCTTTATCCCACTCACCCTTCAAGAATTTGTCAGAATACCACCTACACAAAAAAAACCAAGTTTTAGGTGAAATCCTTATATCCACATACTCAAGAATCTAAAGGAACTCTTTCTAACTTTTTTCTTTCTTTGGACTCACAATAAAAATTAGGAAAAAGGGGTAAAGATTATATCATAAAGTCTGAATTTTGACCTGTTGAAACAATTATGGTAAGCCTCTCTGAGTTGAGCACAAGGGGAAGTAGACAAACGAGAAGCATTTTTCTTGTCTTTCAAGATTCCCATGTTTATGGCATAATAATACTACAAATCCATGAATCTGAACTGAAACCAAGCAGTTAAATTAAATGTTGATTCCAGAAATACTTGTAGCAATTTAGCAATTTCTTCCCATTGTCTTTGCTTCAACGACCAAATAAGGGAGGGAGTTTTGGGCCGTCACGGGTAATTGGATTGTTTGTGGATCCTTTATCTTGGTATGGCCCACGATGAAGCCCAATATTGGTTATAGCTAAACCGTAAAATTTTCATATGGCGCACACCTATTAGATTTGTACCCACTTAAAAAAATTTAATTGATACCTAATACTCCTATTTGGGTAACTTCATATAAATGCACTTTTCTCTTATTCTTTGCTGCTACTTTATTTTTCTTTGTGTTTAGGATTCCTTCTTCTTCTTTTGTTGCAAAACAGATTTGTTACCCATTCTTACCCATTCCTTGACAAAAGCTTCTTCCATGTCTACTCTCCTCCAAACTCTCTCCACTAGGCAACAATGGAGGCTAAAAACACAGATTTTTCTGAAGTGGTTCTCTACTATTGTCGATGATGAACCGATTGTGGTTGTCCATTAACTGAAGCTCGGTATGCCATCTCCATCCTTTTTCTGTTCTTATCTCTCTCAAATTCTCCGCACACTTTTTTTATTTCACTGTTATGTTTTTCTTAGCCGCCCTTCCTGTAATATTTTCTTTGCTCATGTGGCTTCATTTCTGATTTTACTTCAATATTTCACGCTTTTGTTTCCAGTTTGTCTCGCTTCTGCGGTATTTTTGACTTTTGGTAAGTCTCCCCTTCTTTCTTTAGTTGATATACTAGCTTATCGGTAGTGAATTTGAGTGGGTATGTTTTAATTTTTAAATACATGTTTGAGTGGGTTTCTCATTTTCACATGTTTGGAAATACTTATGTATGTGCATGTTTGGGTTACATTATTATTTTTTATTTTGGTTGAGTCAGATGGTATTCTACGAGTGTATAGTTCTATTGAAGAAGGTTTCTACTAGGTACTCTTGCTCTCTTTGGTCTGTTTGGTTCCAGTGATTTCCATGAGCTTGTAAATTTATGATTTCATTCTTCTCAGAGATTACTGATTTAGTTGTTTTCATTTAGCTATTGAAGTTCTCTATGTGCTTCTGCTTTGCTCTCTTATTACACCTTTTTTGGCTTTTAATTTCGCTCTGTATGATTTTGAACATTTGATGGACACAGATCTGATTTTTTTTATTTTCATTCATATTTTCGTGCCTGAGCCGAGGATATGTTGGAAACAGCCTCTCTATCCTCACAAGGTAGGGGTAAGGTCTGCGTACACACTATCCTCCCCAAATCTCACGGTGTGGGATAATACTGGGTATGTTGTTGTTGTTGTTGTTGTCATATTTTCGTGTTGTACTCTTAGCATGTATGTGATTATTTGATCACACGTGTCTATGATATTTTTTTACATGGATACGCACATTATTACAGTATAGGGAACACTAAGTGCCATCAAGACAAAAATAGTAATGGGGAGGAGAAGAACTTTAATGTAGCCAAAATTATTTGACAGTATGCCTGAATATGTAAGTCTCAATCCTTCAACTATAAATCCTGAATTCTAAAACTGTGAAATGTGGTGATTTCCTTTTGTTTGTTTTATGTTGGTATGCCAATTGTTGATTTATAACAAACTTTAGTTTATTCTTTGTCTCTGTTATACAAATATAGTTTTCCCTCTTTACTGTCGTTATACAAATGTAGTTTCCCCTCTTTACTGTCTTCAATTGGATAATGCTGCGAGCTTTGCTGAGATTTTTACTTGGATTTGGAATTTTCAAGTTGAAACTTAAGATCTTTATTTAACTTTTGCGGTCCAACTTTCATAGGAATGCTTTATTGATCTGACAAAGATAGTGATTCTCCTTTAATTTTCTTCCTATATTCTTCCGAGGACTCAGGTTCATGCTTTTTTTAGTCTCTCTTTTTTTCAGGTGGGTGTTAGAGTTCACAAAGCTCTATTTTAAAATAGGTTCCTGTCAATTGGTTAATGTTTGAATCTACTGGGCTATCTTGGAATTTATAGTAGTCATATCTAACAATTTTAGGTCAGTTTAGAAGTTCAATTGAAATTGAGAAAAATGGTGATTATCTGAGGCAAGAAATTAATCTTCCTGTTATGGTAAAAAATATTTGCACTCTATCACCTATTTTATCTAATGCAACAGCTAAGTCCAGCCACCTCTTATCGATCTTGTTTTAATGTTGCTCTGCTATGTTCGCCTCAATAAAGTAAGGATTCATGTCACATAATTCTAGGAATGATAAGTAGGCGAATCCCTCAAAGAACTTCCATGTGTTATAAAATTGCAAACTATAAATTTATCTTCGGATATGTCATTTGGTTGTCTGCCATTTTATTTTGATTACACCAAATATGTATTTCAATGACTAAGGTAAGTTTTAATTAAGACGGGCATTTGAACAAAGCAATTTCCTGCAGCATTAATTGTGTGGAACAAAAGCAAGGCTCTCTTAACTACTAAAGAAATAATGTCTTATTTTTTGGAACTATAAGTTATCAATTTAAGATTTTCTTTCACTTTAGATCTCAACAATGCTATTTTAGCGTCGATTGAAGAGGAAATGACTTATTCTGCTCAAATGATCTATTTTCTCCTAAGTAATGAGATTACCTAACGTTAACCTTTCAATTTAGATGCCTAAAATTTATATCTTAGTCTCATTTGAAGAGGAAGACTTATTGTACTAGAATAGAAGGACATCAGTTTCTTCCCAAAATTTTACATATTCCTAATTGCTCAAAATTATGATTTATCCTATCTTGAAAAGGACATAATTGGAAGAAATGGTACCTTCTTTTCAGTGCAAAATTTGATTCTACGTGCATACATCTTGTTCTAGGCTTCACTGTGGTCATTTTTGGTACCTATAGTTTATGGGATATCAATACTACTGGGATTCATTAACCCATCATCATCATGTTTTGCTGATAGTGTTAGCTTTCTCATAGGACATTTAAACAGAAGAAACTCACTTTTGTGTGGAGAATGCAGCTGAGAAAGACTCAACTTTAGTCATTTATATGGACATGTCAACTCTTACTTTTCGTGCCTCAGAGTTGATCCATCATGAGTTGCTGCATAATACATCAGCTATTGTCATCCAATGAATTGACCAAACATCAACAAATACACAGCACGTAAATAGAACAACTTCTCATTCTCACATTTGTTGATTAGATGTCTACACTGCTGCCTTTATGTGCTACATTTAGGACCACAATAATTTATTTTAACAATTGCAAAGATGAGAATGATATATGCAATTCTTCCGGCAAATCTATGTGCTGGCATTTATAGCTTTATTATTGCTGCATTTAGGTGTATCTTGTACCATCTAGATGCTTTAGGAATTTTTGGCCTTAATTTGTGGAATAAAACTTAAGATATCTGATAGTTTCTTTTCTGAAAATTATAAATTATTTCATTACTCGGCACCTCTTCAATTTTGTTGTTGGTGTCCGAGTCAGGCTTGTATCTCTTCATTTGGTAACTTTATCTAAGCTAGCGTTTGGCCATAAATTCCCAAATTTATTCTGAAAAATCTGATTTGGGTGAAGT